GGCGGGGCCTGAGCCCGGCGGTGCCGCCCCTGCAGCCGCGGCCCGGCCCGGCATGAGGCTGAGCCGGGCGGCCGTGCTGGCACAGGCCAAGGCCGCCGCGCTCGACGGCGTCCGCCGCCTCAACTGCTGGTGGGCGCGGGGACGGGCCGGGGGACAGGCGGGGATGAGGGAGGAGGACAGGCTCGGACGGGGCTGAGAGGATGGAGGGGGGACAGGCAGGCCTGGGGCTGCGGGCTCAGGCTGGGATCAGGAGAGGGGACGGGCAGGGATGGATGAGGGGGGGCAGGCCAGGATGGGGAGGGGACAGGCAGGGATGGATGAGGGGGACAAGGGCAGAGATGGGGAGGGGGGACAAGGATGGAGGGAGGGAGCTGGGTGTCAGACAGGGATGGGAGGGCAGGAGTGGGAACGGGTAGGGCTGAGTGAGGGAGAACAGGCAGGGCTGGGGAAGGGGAGCAGGCAGGGTCAGGCAGGGTCAGGCAGGGCTGGGGAAGGGGAGCGGGCAGGGTCAGGTAGGGCTGGATGAGGGAGAACAGGCAGGGCTGGGGAAGGGGAGGCACAGCAAGGCCCATGGCAGGCTCTGCTGGAGCAGTTTGGTGGGGCCAGGCTAGGGGATGGGGTGTGAACACGGCTGGGGGAGGCTGAGCCCTGCTGTGCTCTCCCTGATCCCTCTCTCCTCTCGCAGGGGCAGCCACCTGACGGATGTAAGTAGTGGAGGAGCCAGAGGAGCCTGGGCCCACGGCTGGAGCGGGGACACCATGGAGGCTGTGGGGTTGGCAGGGCACTGCGGAGGGTCTGGCTTCGGGCTGGCCTGGTGCCTGTGAGCTGCAGGGCTTTTCAGGGTTGATTAGCATCTCACACCATTAAAAAAAAAAAAGTGATTGTTGCTGTTTCCACATTGGAAAATTTCTCTCCAAGGCCCAGCATGGAGCCTCAGAGAGCAGGACCCTGAGTCCTACCTCTGTGGTGATTTTGGATGAGGTTCTGTCGCTAGGGGAGGGCTGGCAGGAGTGGGAGGGAGCCTTTCTTGCGTGTGGAGGCTGCAGAGTTGCTGGAGCAGAAGAACAATGTGACACTGGCTGGTATCTGCACTTCCCCTCCTGAGCAGAGGCTGGAGGAGCTGCTGACGCTGCACTCGCTGTGTCAGAAAACCTCTGGTGTTGTTAAGCTCAGGTTAGACTGAAGCAAACTCAGATTCCTGATGGTGCTTTTTGTGATTTCAATTGGGTTTATTTAAATTTTCCCCCACAAGTGCCAACTTGTTGTTTCTGTCTCTTCCTGCCCAGATATCCATATGCCGGGATTTGCCCAACATCGAGGTGATCACGTTCAGGTGAATGCCAGTTTGCCATCTTTTGAGAGGGCAGGGAAATCACCTTTTCCTGGGGATGGTTTCTTCCCATGTTGCTGTGTGAGCTGCCTGGCTCTTCATGCCCCATTTCTCAAGCAGCAGAGATACAGAAATGATTATTCCTCAGCAGCTCCTCTGCACTACTCCCTGTGCTCTTGAGAAAATATTCTCTGACTTGACAAGTGATAAAACCCCTTAGGATTGTTGTTCCTGAAATTCTATTCTGTAGTTTCAACAGGGATCTTGGCCTCTCTACATGGCCTGTTTCCAAAATACTTGTTGAAATATTTTGTGGATCATCTCTCAGAGCTTTCCCTTTCCGTAATATGCTAAACTTTCACTTGTCCTGGGGACCCCATGGAGCCAATGCTCTGCGAATTTGAGCCTTTTAACTTGGGAATCTTACATGGTTTCCCCTTGGGTGGGCTGAGGAGCTGCTACAGAAAAGGGGGCAGGTTTGGTGGAAGAAGATGCTCTTTGTCATCCTCAGCAGGGTGGAGCAACGTCTCTTTCAATTCTTCCCTCTGCTGACAAAGATGAAATGCCACAAGCCACGGGCTGAACGCCCCTTTCAGTGCCATGCTGAGGCTGTTGCAGGAAAAGGGGCTGGGCAGTGCTGTGCTCCCCCCTGGATGGGGCAGCGAGGGCAGGATGGGCTCTGAGGGCAGGGTGGGCTCTGAGGGCAGGGTGGGCTCTGACCGTGTCCCCGCAGCGTGAACGGCATCTCGGACCTGGAGCCGCTGCGCCGCTGCCAGAACCTGAGCGAGCTCTACCTGAGGAGGAACAACATCAGGAGCCTGGATGAGCTGTTCTACCTGAAGACGCTGCCGCGGCTGCGGGTGCTGTGGCTGGCAGAGAACCCCTGCTGCGGGCCCGACCCGCACCGCTACCGCATGACCGTGCTGCGCAACCTGCCCAGCCTGCAGAAGCTCGACAACCAGGGTGGGCTTTGGCACCTGCAGACAGCCCCTGCCTGCGCCTCCTGGGAAGCGGGGATGTGTTGGCTCTTCTCAAGGGTGTCCTTTGAGTTCTCCTGGAGTCAGGAGGTGTTAGGGGTTGAGTTAGATCCAGTGCTTCTAAGCTGTTTTCTCACTTTGTCTTTTCCCTTTCCGTTTCTCTCCCTTATCGCCTTTTGCCTTCCCTATCCTTATCCCCTTTTGCCTTCTCTATCCCTCTCCTGTTTTCCCTTCCCTCTCCCCTTTTCCCTTCCCTCTCCCGTTTCCCTCTCCCTTGTTTCCCTCTCCTTTTTCCTTGCCTATCCTTTCCCTATCCCTTCCCTACGGCAGCAGGACCGAGTGCCTCATTATAGCTTGGACAGTACCACTAATTAGTGGTTTTTAGAGCTCTCCCTTTTCTGTGGCCAGACAAAGGTTCTATAACTGGATCTGCTGCTGCAGGAAAGCTTCTCTGTTTTGTTTTGTTTTGTTTTTTTTTTACATCCAGTAGCAGAAATTTGGTTGCTTTTGGAGCCTTCTCCAGAGACAAGAAATAGTAAAGCATGTTTGCATCCCTCTCTGATACTCTTCTCACTTTGGGCAGCTGGTTATTTCTTCCAGCATTCTCCTGTGCAGGTTTCACTGCAGGAGAAGGGTGAAAGCAAAATGTTAGACAATCTTTGGACCAAACCCCTTGGGAACAGCTCTGCAGCAGCAGAACCTGCCCCGCTAGAGATGCCATCCCCTTTGGCTGCCGCAGATCGTAGCAACAGGCGTTTGTTGTGGCCTTTGCAGCTGTGACAGAGGAGGAGCTGTCGCAGGCGCTGGTGGATGGCGTGGAGATCACGGCCCCGCCGGCGCGCAGCAGCGTGGAGAACGGCTGGTCCGAGTGCACCGCGTCCAGCGCCGCCGGATCCACCACCGAGCCCGACAGCGACCTGCTCAGCCTGGACGACACCAAGTGAGGGCTGGGCAGCTGCCAGCGTTTCTGGGCTGAGTTTGTGTGTAGCAGGAAAGGAGCCTGACGTTCCAGGGGCCGGGCTGTGGCTGGTGCAGGTTCCCATTGTTCTGGTTGCTGCAGTGGGGCTGGTTGTGTGCCTGCCAAACAGGCTCTGCTGTGGGGGGTGACAAGCTCATCAGCTGCATGTGCAAGCAGGGGTGGATCCTTTCTGATCTGGGAGCTCCAGTCCATTTCCTGGGGTCCTCCAGCTAGATACTCCTTGCATGGTTGCCTGTGATGAGGAAGGATTGGCCTGGCAGAGGAAGGTTCTCCCACCTGGTCATAGTAACATTTGCTTTTCCTCCCTGTTTTTTAGCAAAACTCAGGAGGAGCTTGATATGAAGCCTGTTCCCAGGGATAAATACTCATTTTCCCTTCAAGAGACAGATTGCAGCTGCAAGAAGAGAGTGAGTATCTTTTAAACACCAAATTGCTTTTCCTTGTATGTGGGGCTGAGCTCCAGCATTGAAGGATGTGAAGAACCTTGAATGTCCCCTGAGGAGGGAACAGAGCTGATGCCAGGGCTGGAAGAAATGTCCAGGAGCAGCTAAGGGCTCTGGTTTTGTTTGGAGAGAAGGAGGCCAAGGGGTGACCTCATGCCCTTCTGCAGCTTCCTGAGGTGGGGATGTGGGGAGAGGGTGCTGAGCTCTTCTACCTGGGACCCAGTGGTAGGAGACATGGGGATGATTCAAAGCTGTGCCAGGGGAGGTTCAGACTGGACATTAGAATGTGTTTCTTTAGCAAGAGGAGGGTCAAACCTTGGGAAGTGGCTGCTGAACAAGAAGTTTAAGTGGTTCCTCAGCCCCCTCCATCATGTAGCCATGGATGAACCTGGATTTTGGTGATTCAGCTGGGAATTGCAGAGTGCTGGACTTGGTGCTGTTGCATCAGTCAGCAGAGCAAGATGTAACCCACAGTGCCATAGCTGCCTAGAGCACCACCACAAGCTCTGACCTTTAAAGAGGGGAGAAGTGGTCCCCCATTGCAGCTGAAGAGGTTCAGGTTGGATGTTGGGCAAAAGATTCTCCCTAGAAGGACAGCTATTTGTGCTGTGGAATCTCTCCCTGGAGTTCTTCAGGACATGATTTGACAGAGCCACGGCCTGCTGTTGGCAGTGGTCCTGTGGTGGTGGCAGGGCTGGGGACCTTCAAGGCTCCTTTGCAGAGAGCACCAGCTCTCCTCACTCCTCAGAGCAGGGGCCTCCTGTCCTTTCCCATCCCACACATGCTGGAGAGCGAGGGCAGCTGCTCCTGAAAGTGCTTTTCCTGACAGAAGCCAGGCTGGAGCGTGGCCAGAGGCTGTGGGCAGGATGGGTTTGTCCTGCATTCCAGCCTGGTCATGTGCCACATGCGCCTCCGCCTGTGTTTGCCCCGAGGCCTTGGTTGTTAGTCCCGGTCCGTGGCTGCAGGTGGCTGTTCCAAACTGCTGCCGGTGCTGGTGGTGGTGGAGGAGGAGTTCCTAGAAAGAGCAGGGAAAATCAATGTCCTTGTCCTTGCTGGCTGGTCCAAGGCAGTGTGTGCTTTATCCCGACAGAACAATGTCCTGAATGCCATCCTGCTTCTCATGAAGGAACTGGACGCAGAGGGGCTGGAGATCATCCAGCAGACGGTGGCGAGGAGGCTCCAGGCCTTCCAGAAGAAGGAGCTGCAGGAGGAGTGACAATGCCCATCCCCCTTCCAGCCTCCCTGGAGCCCCAGCCCCTCGGTGCTGCCCTGCCCACACCCCTGGTTGCAGCCAAAGCCTCGGTGCTCTGCTTCCCCTGCGAGGGCATGCCATGGGATGCTGCTTCTCTGGAGATTTCCTGCTTGTGCAGCAGGCTCTGACACTGTACCCTGTGTGGCTGGGGCTCTTGGATGGGAGCTGCAGGCAAATCGGCAAAGCAGGAGGGAACAGGGCTGCAGCCAGAGGTGCTGTGTGATCCGAGGGGGAGCAGAGCCTGCAGATGGCTGGGAGGGACTCCGGCCCTCAGCCAGCCTGGGGGTGCACAGCACCTCTGAGGGCAGTTTGTACCACAGAGTTCTGGTTTGGTGCAGTCTGACAGGGAGATGTTGCCTGAGATGATCACCTGGACCTGTCTGGTGCAGATGGTGAAGGTCAATGTCCCGTTGTTAATTTATTTTCCAGCTCCTGGCTGACTTCCTCAGGTCCTTGCTGGCGCACGCAGCGCCTGCTGGTCAGGCAGCCCAAAGGAAAGCTCAGAGCAGCCTAGGTGAGCCAGGAATGACTCTCACATCCTGAATGCTCAGCTGTCCTCTCACCCCAACATTCCCTGCAGGCATTAGAGCAGCTTAAAGTACCATCCCAGTTAAAAGGCCCTGAGCATTCTGCCTGCTTTGCACAGGCATCAAGGGTGGGTGTTGCTCTTTAACTGATAAAACTGCATTTACCAAGTTTTATAGAGCTGTCAAGTACAAACTAAACTGTTGTGACATACCAAATAAACCCAATTATCCCTCAAGGCCGTGTAAGTGGTGGCTGGAGTTCAGCAAAGGCCTGGCTGGGGGCACTGCTCCATTACCTCTGGTTCAGGGAGTGCATTGTGAGCAGGAGGAAGGCTGGGAGCCCCGCGCCTTCCCGCTTCACTGCGCCTCTGGAACGGTGAGCCTGCTCCCAGCACTGCTCTGCAGGGCCTCTGGGCTGTCCTGCAACCTTCTTGCAACCACAGCAAAGGCAGGGAGCAAAGGAGGTGCTGAGGAGAGCTCAGTGCAGAGCCACCTGGGCAGGATGATGGCCCTGAGATACAGGACATGAGCTCTCCATGTCTCCCAGTGCTGCGCTGGTGACGTGGCCTTTCCATGGCCCCCTGTCCCTGTTTGTGCAGTGTCCAGGAAGGAATGCTCCTCAGGGATGGTGACAGCCCTGTGTCCACAAGCTTGTTTGCCTGACCTTGGTGGGAACAGACACAGTTTGACCCTCGTCACTCAGGGGGAGATTTGCTGATGCCTTTAACTCCTCGAAAGACCTTTGTTCTTGCCTTTTGCGTTAAACCCAGCTGCAGTTGTGTGATTTATGATGTCCCAGACTTTCTTTGACATCCAGGGCCTGGGAGACTCACCCTGCTGAGTGCAAGTCTTCTCCCAGGCCCTGGCCTGTCCATGTCAAGGAACAAGGGAGTTGTTGTTGGGGTGAGCTGGACCCCCAGCTTCTCTGGGATGTGAGCGATCAAAGGAAGTGTCCATCAGGACTCGGTCACAGGGTTGATGGAACAATCACTGTGCCCTTGAGGCCACATTGACACAATTCCTGGAGAAGTTGGGCTGTTTGCTGCCTACGTGCTGTGCTTGTCATCCTTGGCTGGTGCTGGTGCTGCCCTCGGGGCTCCCAACTGCTCCTTGCAGCATCCCAGCAAACCCCAGCGGGAGCTCAGCCCCTCCAGGGCCCTGGCAGCCTGCCTTCCCCTGCAGGATGATTCCGGAGGCTTGCTCTGCCCTCTTTTCAGGGTGGGCTGGATGTGCTGGGAAGTCTGGGAGCACAGTCACGCCCCTGCTGCTCATCCTCGGAATTCAGTGGCTGTGCCTCTCAGTTTTCTCCCAGGAATTTGGCCCTCCAGGTATTTTTTTAGATGGAAATGAAGTGTGGGGGCTGCAGTGACTCTTGTCCCTCAACATGCAGCTGGTCTGAGCCTGGGGGCACCCCTGTCCCCATTCACACCCTAAACCTGTTTGCTGCAGGGCAGTGCTGCCGACAGATTTTCCACATGACCTGCTGTCACCCTGCCCTGCCTCAGCCGGGAATATCGAGCCATGAATGCAGATGATTCCAGCTCTGGAAAATGCCAGCAGCTGTACTGAACCACTTCCCTTCAAACCACCCTCAGAGGCTCTGGGAGGCTGGTGGTGAGGCAGCTGTGAGGTCCATGGCTGAGGAGGGAAGGAGTGGGCTGGGGCTCCCCCAAAGTGGCACATGGGAGAGTGGAAGAGCCCATTTCCCACCCAGGAAAAGGAGATCCAGGAGAAGCCAGGTCTGCCTGGGGTCTCCAAAGCAGATAGTAATTCCAAAGCAGTCAGGCAATGTTGCCTCCATCAGCAAGGTCTGCTACTTACTGGTCCAGGGAGGAGACAAAAGTTACCATCTTCCTCCAGAGGCTAAAATGTGTTCAGTTAGGGGAAAAGCACTGAAATCATGGAATGGTTTTGGGTGGGAAGGGACCTGGAAGTCCATCTCATTCAACTCCCTGCCATGGGTACGGACACCTTTCACAAGCCCAGGTGGCTCCAAGCCCTGTCCAACCTGGCCTTGGACACTTCCAGGGATCCAGGGGCAGCCACAGCTTCTCTGGGCACCCTGTGCCAGGGCCTCGTCTCCCTCACAGGGAAGAATTTCTTCCCAATATCCCATCTAACCCTGCGGCAGTGGGAAGCCATTTCCCCTTGGTGTGTCACTCCAGGACCTTGTCCAAAGTCCATCTCCAGCTTCCTTGTTGGCTCCTTCAGGTACTAACAGGAAATCAGGATAAATGTCATCCATGACCTTTCCCTTGCCCACTGAGGGAGTCACTCCACCAAAGAAAAGCAGGGGGAACTTTCACTTGGGGACAAGTCCATGGGGAGGACAAAATAACAGCATGCTTGACCCCAAAGACTGTGATGCATGCTGATGCTGTGCTGCAGGCTGGAGCCGTCAGCCAGCAGCCCCAGGAGGGAAGTGGCCTGGGAAAGGGGCTCCCTGTGACCGTCTGGCGCAGCCCGAGTGCGCGGAGCTCGGCCAGGCCGGCACGCTTGGCCAGTGCTCTGAGAAACTGCCTCACAAACACGCACAGCACCACCCTAAAGCACTTGTGTGGTTCCTCTGGAGGTGGGAACATAGTGATTTTTCTCTGGAATCATGAAGCGATTGCAAAAGGATGCTGACCTTGTACCTACCATGACTTGGACGGGGGGAGAAGCTGCCTATGGTCCCACTCTCCCAGGCTCTGAGGATGCACAAAACCAAGGGAACGTCTTGGCCCAGCATTAACCCAGCTTGGGAAAACCATCAGGCTTTGCTATTTCCCCCACCCCGCCCCTGTCCTGCCATCCATCCCCCCTCAATGACCACTCCAGGAGGCAGGTTTGGCTCCAGCAGGTTTTATCTCTAGAGGAAAGGAGCAGCGCCGCGGGCGGTGCAGGATCCGGGGTCACAGAGCAGCAGTGAGGTGACAGACACGGCGCCCACAGCCACGCGGTGACGGTCGCAGCCAAGCGTCATGCAAGGGGACAGGGGCTCGCCAGGACCCCCGTGCTCAGCCCTCGAGACCCGCACGGGGGATGGAGCTCCACAGGGGCACCCAGAAGCCTTTGGGAACTGCTCCGACCCATTGCGGGATGGCTCCGCATCCTCCTTGCTCCCCTCCCGCACGTGGGGCAGGCGACTACAAGCAGCAGCAGCTGGCTCAGGCGGTCAAGCCGCTAAATAAGGACTCAAAATACCCCATCATTAAATAATAATAACCTATTAAGGGAAGATTAAGAGTCTGGGCTGCGCGGCTGGGCTCAAGCAACTCTTCGGCATCCGCACAGGGACCAGACCCGCAGCAGTGATTCGGGGCAGGATTGTGCCGTTCTGGGACACAGCACCAGGCTCTGCCTGCTGTAAGGGGTCGATGGCAAAGCTACAGGGCTACTGAGAACAGAGGGGACACAGTGCTCCCCCAGCAGCATGTGGGCACAGAGAGGACACGGCGGGGGCTACGGGCCGGGCTGGTGGCACTAGAAGCCCTTCTCGATGCTGAGGGTGCGACGGGTGACGTGCTCCATCTGCCCCGAGATGTACTCGGTGAGGCTGATCTGGTAGTTGGCGAGCATCTTCAGCATCAGCCGTAGGTTCAGCCACCACTGCTCCTGGGGCAGCCTGTGCCTGTGCAGGGGACACAGCTCTAGAGCAGACAGCCCGGGAAGGTTCCCCCGGGAGCTGGTGAAATGCTGGGGCATGGGGACTTACTCAAAATCTGTGACTTTCTTGAGCTCCGTCACGGGGCTGAAGGCCACCACCTTCTTCCGCAGCCCGATCACACAGGCAGTGTCTCCAGAGTTGGCAAACACACGTCCTGGGAGGGGGACACTGCTGACCTTGGCCAGCTCACTGCAGGCCAAGCCTGGAAGCCTGGAGCAGCAGCCAGCAGCCTTCCCCACCCCCCGTGGGATCCCCAGCCCTCGGCTCACCCTTGCTGTAGACTTGCTGCAGCTTCTCTGACATCCACAGCACCGCCTTCACTCCTAGCTTGGTCCCATAGTTCCGGTCAAAGGGGGTTGGGGCTCCCCCCTGGGGACAAAGAAATGGGGATGTCAGGCCTTGCCCCGCTCTCAGGGCCAGCAGGGCCCATGTGACCCTGTCCCTTGTACCTCTGTACCTGCTGGAGGTGGCCCAGGACATTGATCCTGCAGTCGAAGATGCCTTTGCCCTCAGAGGAGTAAAGGTTGTAGAGGAACTCGGTGGTGTAGTGCTCGTGGCACTTCTCATTGCTGGGGAGCAGAGGGAAGGGCTTGGGGGGCTGCTCCTTCCCCTGGCATGCCCAGGGGGTCCCTCTTTGTTCCCCATAACACCTTTTTTGTTCTGAGGCCCAGAGCCCCAGTCTGTGTCCCCAGGAGGACCCTGGGGCTGGGATGGGGATGGCAGCAGAGGCACCCACTGTCCCCAGGGCCAAGTGCCAAGTGCCAAACCTCACCATGCCCAGGACCCCTCTCTGGCCATGGGAAGGGCTCAGCTCCAGCCTTGCTCCCTGCCACAGAGCTGGGGTTTCAGTGATTGCCCCCAGGGACCCCCAACTCACCGCAGCACCAGCCCTCTCTGGATATCTGTCTTCATTTTGTCCGTCAAGTGCTCCACGTTGGCCTGCAAGATGAACACCAAGATGCCGGCAGCCATCCCACAGCCGTCCTGTCCTGACATCAATCCAGCAGGGCCATGTCCTCCAGCTCCTGCCCTGCTGTGGAGCCTTCCCTTCCCCAATTTTCCTTCTCATTTGAGCCAGAGAACCGCTCCTGCTGCTCACCTTTAAGTCGTGGATGGTGAAGGGATCTTCGTAGACGTAGGCAGCGTCGGCGCCCACGGCGATGCCGGTGACCGTGGACAGGTACCCACAGTAGCCCCCCATGGTCTCCACGATGAACACGCGGCGCTTGGTGCCTGAGGCCGACTGCTTGATGCGGTCGCAGCTCTGTGCCCAAAGAAGGTGAGGTCACACCAGGAAAAGCTTCCCCAGGGTGGGACATTGACCACGCCATGCCGTGATTGAAGGTGGCGGAGCACGGCAGCCCCGTGAGCTGTCCCTGCCCATGTCCCTCACCTCCATGGCGGCGTTGACGGCCGTGTCGGAGCCCAGGCTGAAGTCGGTGCCGGGCACGTTGTTGCTGATGGTGGCAGGGATGACGCACATGACGATGCACAGCTCCTCGTACTGCCCGCGGGCCTCCACCAGCTGCAGCACCCCCTCGTACGCCTGCAAGCAGCCGAGGGGCTGGGAAATGCTGGCCCTGCAGCCAGATCCACACCCCAGAAAGACTCCTCTGGGATGCCCAGAGCCACCCCAGCCCCCTCTGAACCGAGGATTCCGCCGCACCTCAAAGCCCCCAATGACCAGCAGCCCCTGGATGTTGAATTTGCGCACGTTCTCCACGATCTTCTCCATGCAGGTCTTGGGCAGCGTCCTGTGGTGGGGAAGGGGGGCAGACAGTGGGGTGAAGATGGTGGGGACACCCTTTCCCTATGTCCCTGTCCCCAGGGCTGCACTCACCGCTTGGTGCCCAGCATGGAGCCGCCACGGCCCAGCCATCCTGCCACGTCATGCCAGCCCACCTCGCGGACCTGCGGGCACCAGCGACAGGTTGGAGGTGGGAAGAGCCCCCCAAGCCCAGCCCCACCCTCCAGGACATGCCAGGCTCAGGGTCCCCCTTACCTGCCCCTTGGCCAGGCCCTCAAAGCCATCGTTCACCACGTAGATGGTGTGTCCCTGGCAGATGCCGATGCGCACGGCCGAGCGCACGGCAGCGTTCATGCCAGCAGCTGGTGCTCCCACGTTCAGAATGGCC